GTTTTTAATGGTCTAGTGGTTAAGATGCTGAGCTGGTTTGCTTCGGAAGCGCGACAGATCCTGGGCAGCAGGACGAACGAAGGGTCTTGTTCATGTCTCCGGAGCCGCCAGAAGGGATGCCCTGATGAGTTCTCTCCCACACCCACTGTATTTGGCAGTAGTGCAGCAATTGGCAGTAGTGTGGTAATTGGCGGTAGTGCAGCAATGACGAGTTGTGCAGTCAATACCATCCAGCATCAGCAAGTATCAGCCAGTTTCAGCCAGGATCAGCCAATATCATTCAGGATCAGTATCAGCCAGTATCAGCCAGGATCAGCCAGTTTCAGCCAGTAACACACAAACAGCAATATGAGAGGACGTGCACAAAAAGCCAGCCATGCACGGACAAGATCATTGCCTGTCCCTGACGATCTTTGCTGGGGTGAGGTTTAACTCTTCCACAACACCTTCACAATCCCCATTCCATTAAACTTCCACAACACTCCACAACACTTCCACAACACCCACACAACACTTCCACAACACATCCACAACACTTCCACAACACCTGTATTTGGCAGTAGTGCAGCAATTGGCAGCAGTGTGGTAATTGGCAGTAGTGCAGCAATGACCAGTAGTGCAGTCAATACCATCCAGTCTTGAGGCCTGCGGAGCCTTCCTGATCATTGCTTTTGCCAAACCCACAACCACTCCCCCATGCAGAGCTTTCCCTGATGATTGCTGATTGCAAAGCCAGAGGCACCTTCCGACCGGCGACCGGCTGATCTGCACACATCAAGCTCTGCAAAGTCGCCAATCAACCTGGAACAGCTCTGCGACATCGCTGATATGCTTGTTTAAAGCTCTGAGAAGTCGCTGATCTGCAGCTATGAAGCTCTGAGAAGTCGCTGATCTGCACGCATCAAGCTCTGCAAAGTCGCCAATCAACCTGGTTCCAAGCTCTGCGACATCGCTGATATGCTTGTTTAAAGCTCTGAGAAGTCGCTGATCTGCAGCTATGAAGCTCTGAGAAGTCGCTGATCTGCACGCATCAAGCTCTGCAAAGTCGCCAATCAACCTGGTTCCAAGCTCTGCGGCATCGCTGATATGCTTGTTTAAAGCTCTGAGAAGTCGCTGATCTGCAGCTATGAAGCTCTGAGAAGTCGCTGATCTGCACGCATCAAACCCTGCAAAGTCGCCAATCAACCTGGTTCCAAGCTCTGCGGCATCGCTGATATGCTTGTTTAAAGCTCTGAGAAGTCGCTGATCTGCAGCTATGAAGCTCTGAGAAGTCGCTGATCTGCACGCATCAAACCCTGCAAAATCGCCAATCAACCTGGTTCCAAGCTCTGCGACATCGCTGATATGCTTGTGTAAAGCTCTGAGAAGTCGCTGATCTGCACGCATCAAGCTCTGCCAGAGCTTGATGCTTGGTCCTTTATTTGTGGTGTCAGGCACCCAAAGGATAGTAGCCTTGCAGAACTTGCGAAATCGCATTCTAAAGGAGGCCTTTGATAAAGAAATCATTACTTTCTGGAGGCCTGCGGTTTGGCCGGCAGCAGAACTTTCCTGATCATTGCTTTTGCCAAACCCACAACCACTCCCCCCTGCAGAGCTTTCCCTGATGATTGCTGATTGCAAAGCCAGAGGCACCTTCCGACCGCACACACCGGCGACCGGCCCTGCTAATCAGGACCCCAGAGCTTGCTCCTTTATTTGTGGTGTCAGGCACCCAAAGGGGGGTAGCCTTGCAGAACTTGAGAAATCGCATTTTTTGAGAGGCCTTTGATAAAGAAATCATTACTTTCTGGAGGCCTGCGGTTTGGCCGGCAGGAGAACTTTCCTGATCATTGCTTTTGCCAAACCCACAACCACTCCCCCATGCAGAGCTTTCCCTGATGATTGCTGATTGCAAAGCCAGAGGCACCTTCCGACCGCACACACCGGCGACCGGCCCTGCTAATCAGGACCCCAGAGCTTGCTCCTTTATTTGTGGTGTCAGGCACCCAAAGGGGGGTAGCCTTGCAGAACTTGAGAAATCGCATTCTTTGACAGGCCTTTGATAAAGAAATCATTACTTTCTGGAGGCCTGCGGAACTTTCCTGATCACTGCTTTTGCCAAACCCACAACCACTCCCCCCTGCAGAACTTTCCTGATGATAGCTGATTGCAAAGCCAGAGGCACCTCCTGACCGCACACACCGGCGACCGGCCCTGCTAATCAGGACCCCAGAGCTTGCTCCTTTATTTGTGGTGTCAGGCACCCAAAGGGGGGTAGCCTTGCAGAACTTGAGAAATCGCATTCTTTGAGAGGCCTTTGATAAAGAAATCATTACTTTCTGGAGGCCTGCGGTTTGGCCGGCAGCAGAACTTTCCTGATCATTGCTTTTGCCAAACCCACAACCACTCCCCCATGCAGAGCTTTCCCTGATGATTGCTGATTGCAAAGCCAGAGGCACCTTCCGACCGCACACACCGGCGACCGGCCCTGCTAATCAGGACCCCAGAGCTTGCTCCTTTATTTGTGGTGTCAGGCACCCAAAGGGGGGTAGCCTTGCAGAACTTGAGAAATCGCATTCTTTGAGAGGCCTTTGATAAAGAAATCATTACTTTCTGGAGGCCTGCGGAAATTTCCTGATCATTGCTTTTGCCAAACCCACAACCACTCCCCCATGCAGAGCTTTCCCTGATGATTGCTGATTGCAAAGCCAGAGGCACCTTCCGACCTGACACACCGGCGACCGGCCCTGCTAATCAGGACCCCAGAGCTTGCTCCTTTATTTGTGGTGCCAGGCACCCAAAGGGGGGTAGCCTTGCAGAACTTGAGAAATCGCATTCTTTGAGAGGCCTTTGATAAAGAAATCATTACTTTCTGGAGGCCTGCGGTTTCCTGATCATTGCTTTTGCCAAACCCACAACCACTCCCCCATGCAGAGCTTTCTGTGATGATTGCTGATTGCAAAGCCAGAGGCACCTTCCGACCGCACACACCGGCGACCGGCCCTGCTAATCAGGACCCCAGAGCTTGCTCCTTTATTTGTGGTGTCAGGCACCCAAAGGGGGGTAGCCTTGCAGAACTTGAGAAATCGCATTCTTTGAGAGGCCTTTGATAAAGAAATCATTACTTTCTGGAGGCCTGCGGAACTTTCCTGATCACTGCTTTTGCCAAACCCACAACCACTCCCCCCTGCAGAACTTTCCCTGATGATAGCTGATTGCAAAGCCAGAGGCACCTTCCGACCGCACACACCGGCGACCGGCCCTGCTAATCAGGACCCCAGAGCTTGCTCCTTTATTTGTGGTGTCAGGCACCCAAAGGGGGGTAGCCTTGCAGAACTTGAGAAATCGCATTCTTTGAGAGGCCTTTGATAAAGAAATCATTACTTTCTGGAGGCCTGCGGTTTGGCCGGCAGCAGAACTTTCCTGATCATTGCTTTTGCCAAAACCACAACCACTCCCCCATGCAGAGCTTTCCCTGATGATTGCTGATTGCAAAGCCAGAGGCACCTTCCGACCGCACACACCGGCGACCGGCCCTGCTAATCAGGACCCCAGAGCTTGCTCCTTTATTTGTGGTGTCAGGCACCCAAAGGGGGGTAGCCTTGCAGAACTTGAGAAATCGCATTCTTTGAGAGGCCTTTGATAAAGAAATCATTACTTTCTGGAGGCCTGCGGAGCCTTCCTGATCATTGCTTTTGCCAAACCCACCACCCATGCAGAGCTTTCCCTGATGATTGCTGATTGCAAAGCCAGAGGCACCTTCCGACCGCACACACCGGCGACCGGCCCTGCTAATCAGGACCCCAGAGCTTGCTCCTTTATTTGTGGTGTCAGGCACCCAAAGGGGGGTAGCCTTGCAGAACTTGAGAAATCGCATTCTTTGAGAGGCCTTTGATAAAGAAATCATTACTTTCTGGAGGCCTGCAGTTTGGCCGGCAGAAGAACTTTCTTGATCATTGCTTTTGCCAAACCCACACCCACTCCCGCATGCAGAGCTTTCCCTGATGATTGCTGATTGCAAAGCCAGAGGAACCTTCCGACCGCACACACCGGCGACCGGCCCTGCTAATCAGGACCCCAGAGCTTGCTCCTTTATATTTGTGGTGTCAGGCACCCAAAGGGGGGTAGCTTTGCAGAACTTGAGAAATCGCTTTCTTTGAGAGGCCTTTGATAAAGAAATCAATGCTTTCTGGAGGCCTGCGGTTTGGCCGGCAGCAGAACTTTCCACAACCACCACATGCACAGCTTTCTTTATGATTGCTGATCCAAACCAGACCCACACGCCGGCGACCGGCCCTGCTAATGAGGATTTCAACGCTTGCTCCTTTATTTGTGGTGTACATGCACATTTCCTTTTGATTGCTGATCCAAACCAGAGCCACAGGCCGGCGACCGGCCCTGCTAATCAGGACCCCAGAGCTTGCTCCTTTCGAGTTCGATTCAATAGATAGTTACACATGCATAGTCGACATAGATAGTTACACATGCTTAGTTGACATAGATAGTTACACATGCTTACTTGACATAGATAGTTACACATGCATAGTTAACATACATACACAGACTTAGATTTTATAGTGGTGCGGCTATTTTTTTCCTGACATCAGGCAGAACAGCAGAGACAGCATTGGAGTGCCATGATGAAGATGAGAGGAGGAGGAGGAGGTGAGACTCAGCGATCGGACACACATGAGACGATGGAAGAGACAAGCGATGTAGACCTAGAAGCGACGAATGAGGAGGCTGTCTCTGAGGAAAAGCCTGTGCCCGAAGATGAGCAGGCAGATCTTGAGCAGGAGAAGCCTGCTGATGGGGAGGATGCCGCTCATGAGGAGGCTGCCTCGAAGGAAAGGGCTGGGCGCGATGATGAGCAGACATATTTTGAGCAGGAGAAGCCTGCTGATGGGGAGGATGCCGTTCATGAGGAGGCTGCCTCGAAGGAAAGGCCTGGGCGCGATGATGAGCAGACAGATCTTGAGCAGGAGAAGCCTGCTGATGGGGAGGATGCCGTTGATGACAGCATGGCTGTTGATGACTCACTGGCTGCCGATGATGAGACACAAAATCAAGAGGAGGAGCAAGAAGAGGATGAGGAGGCTGATCATGAGCAGCACATTGGGACTGCTGAGGAAGGGAGCCAGCTTGTTGCGGCAAATGAGGCTTCGGATGATGACTTGCAAGTCATGACTCCTGTCAAGCATGCACCGCATGAGGTGCTTGTCGTGACTCCGGTGAGGCGACAGCTGAGCTTCGGATCAGAGGCTTCATCAGCTTCAGACAAGAGCATGAGGCAAGTTGGCCTAATGAGATTCTGGTCGCCGGCGGGAGCATCAGACAAGAGCATGAGCTCTCCCGTGGGCTCTCCGCTGGCAGACCTGGAGGAATATCCTGAGGCGCCTCCCAGAAAGACGAATAGGATGAGCATGGAAGATACCATAAGAGGCATGCTGCGGAGAGGTGAGCTGAGTGTGGGTGGTCAGCGGTTGAGCTTGACCGCTGAGAACATGAGAAGTGTTCATGAGTCGATGAGAAAGAGCACTGCAAGTCGAGGGCGGCCGATCAAATCCTCGAATGAGCTCAGAGGAGTCTTGGGCGGAAGGAAAACCAACCGCAGGGCCAAGAATGAGAAACCACGTCAGTTTGAGATCGCGATAAGCATGAAGCATGCCATCTGCAAAGAGATGTATGAGCAGCGGCTGAGATTTCCCAACGAGAGTTCCATGCTTGATGAGTTTTCCCGGGCCAAAAGCATCAGAAAAGATCGGCTGCAAGAGATATGGGCAAACAGAGCCGAATGGGCAAAGATGAGCCAGCATGGGAGAGCCAATGCCTCGGCCAATGAGATGAAGGGAACAAAGGCTCGCTTGAGACGAGAGGGAGGAGGCACCAAGAGGGAATTTCCTGAGCTGGTTGAGAAGGTGAGGCACTGGCTGGATAAGGAGAGGTCGCATGGGCATGTGGTCCTGGCAAAGCATTTGGCCATGACCTATGGGTCATTCCTCAAAGTGAGGGCTGATGAGCTGTCCACCCTGCTGGAGAATGAGGACTTGAGTATCCCTGACCGAAAGGCCTATCAGTTGAAGCGAGACAAGGCGAGGAACCATGGAAACTTTCACTAAACCTCAAATCCTAAAACCCCTAATGAAGCCCTGAAGCTTAAACCCTCAAACCCTTCATAAAATCCTAAACCCAAGAATCAGTTAGATTATCGTATTTGGATTTCAATCCCCTGAACTAAACTCAAGCGCTAAACCTAGACCTTGAGCTTTAAGCACTATAAAGTGTCATCAGGAACCCTGAAATAGGCAATTAATTTAGTATCCCAAAGCTCAAGTAAAACTTGAACCATAACCCTAAGCCCTAAACCCATGAAGCAGGCCATGAGCCAGCACAAAGTGATCATGAGCACTTCCAAATCAGCCGATAAGAGAGGGGCAATCTTGGCGAGATGGTTGGGTGCGTCCATAAGAGTGCCGAACCTGACCACCCAGATCAGCGAAGTTGAAATGCAGGTCAGGGCTGAGCTCTCGTGGCAATACCACGATTACCTCATGAGCATCATCAGCCGGGGCGACGATGAGCTGCGGAAGTTTTGCGCCAAGATGAGCGAGGTGACGCCTGAGGTGAGAAAGAGATGTGTCATGGGATTCAGCGATCAGGTGCCCTTATGGCTTAAGAAAACTTCACGTCGTGAGGTCTTCGCTAAGTGGGAAGTCCCCACTAAGAAGAGGAAGATGAGCACTGGGCCTGAATTCGAGATGTTGGCCGATGAGCACGAACCAAAGCATGAGGAGCAGCCGCATGACGCACCAAACCAGCCGCATGAGGACCAGCCGCATGAGGACCAGCCGCATGACACATGGGAGTTGGCGAAGCCCGGCAGTGATGAGCAGCGAAAGCACTTGACTTCGAGGCGTGAGGAAAAGTCAGATCGCTTTCGGGTCACCTTTGAGGCGAATCAGCTGGTGAGCTCATGGTTTGATCCTGAGAAAGACCCCACGGGCCATGTGATCAGAGGCACTCTGATTGTGCCTGGCTCCCATGGGAACTTGGCCAACATTGATGAGCGAGGCTGCTGGATCGGGGATGAGAAACCCTAACCCCTAAACCCGAAACCCCCAAGCCCGACTTAATCCTAGTTAAACCCTAACTAATTAGACCGTCGATGAAACAGGCAATTGGATTCGGGATGAGCGATTCCATTACAATGGGCAAGACCGGATGCATAAGAAACTTGGTGTCAGTGTTGAGAAGTATTGAGCTGCATTCAATCATTTTCTTCGTGTGGAACTACGAATCTGAAAGTTCTAAATCATGCATTACCCGGGGCTCTTAAACGAAAGACCAGGAAGGGAATGAGCGCTGGAAGGACATTGGGGGCATGGAGAAAGTTGAGAAGTGAGTCGCCTGAGCTGCTGACGCATTTCAACGTCATGAGTCAGCCAGCATCGAACACGGATGGTGTACTTCTTCCATGGGGGATCATGGAGTCCGCAGCTGAGTACCCTTTGTCCTTATGGATGAGGGACTGCTATGGACCTGCATTCAGTGAGGCGAGCATGAGATCCATGTTCCTGAGCCATCAGATCCCATCATTAGTGTTGCCGAAGATGACATCATTGCTTCAGCTCACGGACACGGACTTTAGCCATGCCTTCAAGGCTGCCGTGAGAAGAAGCCTGGATGAGCAACACCGGCGGCATGAGCCAGGCACAAATGCGAGGGATGGGCCGATGCATGAGTCGTTTACGAAACTGGGCATCCGTGAGATGGCGAAAGCCCTCCATGAGGCCATGGAACACATGATCAAATTGAATGAGGAAACAAACTGGGTTTTGGCCGGCTTGAGAAGGAATGGATGGTTGGCACTGCGGCCAGATGAGACGGGAAAGCTCAAGAAATGTGATGATCAGCCATGGGCACAAGGCATGCGATTGGGCTGCAAACGAGTTGATGAGAGATGGCTCAAGAACCGCTTCCTGCATTTGAGTGATGAGGGCATCGTGAGTCCGCCGAATTGGGCAAGAGTGGACGGAGCAAAAGATCTCAGCGACTTTGTCCATTGGCATTACGATGAGGCACGGAAAACTGAGGCAGATGCCGTCATCGAATTGGATGACCCTGATCATGAACTTGATGAGCCTGAATGGCAACAAGCCGCCCAATATCAGCTGCCGCTGGACATGAGACGGTCATTGGCTGAGTATGAGAAGAACATCACTGATGAGGCTAAAAAGCTGAGAGCAGACCGCATGAAAAAAACTGTGAAGAGACGAGAACAACGAGATGCCCTGAAGAAACTGTCTGATGAGACGAAGGAAGAGCTGAGAGCCACATTGCAGAGCACATCAAGGCATGGGGGTGGGGGTGGGGGTGGCGGGCTTCGGTAAAGGGGGAGAGGTCCTGCTAGTGAATAAACGCAACCAAACGGGGTAATTAGCCTTGTAATCCTTACTTTTTGGAGGCTGTGGTTTGTCCCGCAGCAGCAGAGCTTCCTGATCACTGCTTCTTCCAAATCCACAACCTCCACACGCAGAGCTTTCCTTATGATTCCTGATCCAAACCAGAGCCGGACGCCGGCGACCGGCCCTGCTAATCAGGACCCCAAAGCTTGCTCCTTTATTTGTGGTGTCAGGCACCCAAAAAGGGGTGGCCTTGCAGAACTTGAGAAATCGCATTCTTTAAGATGCCTTCGATAAAGAAATCCTTACTTTCTGGAGGCCTGCAGTTTCGCCGTTTCGCCGGCAGCAGAGCTTTCCTGATCACTGCTTCTTCCAAAGCCACAACCACCACGTGCAGAGCTTTCCTTATGATTGCTGATCCAAACCAGAGCCACACGACGGCGACCGGCCCTGCTAATCAGGGCCCCAAAGCTTGCTCTTTTATTTGTGGTGTCAGGCACCCAAAAAGGGGCAGCCTTGCAGAACTTGAGAAATCGCATTCTTTGAGAGGCCTTTGATAAAGAAATCCTTACTTTCTGGAGGCCTGCAGTTTCGCCGGCAGCAGAGCTTTCCTGATCACTGCTTCTTCCCAAGCCACAACCACCACGTGCAGAGCTTTCCTTATGATTGCTGATCCAAACCAGAGCCACACGACGGCGACCGGCCCTGCTAATCAGGGCCCCAAAGCTTGCTCCTTTATTTGTGGTGTCAGGCACCCGAAGGGGGGTAGCCTTGCAGAACTTGAGAAATCGCATTCTTTGAGAGGCCTTTGATAAAGAAATCCTTACTTTCTGGAGGCCTGCAGTTTCGCCGGCAGCAGAGCTTTCCTGATCACTGCTTCTTCCAAAGCCACAACCACCACGTGCAGAGCTTTCCTTATGATTGCTGATCCAAACCAGAGCCGGACGACGGCGACCGGCCCTGCTAATCAGGACCCCAAAGCTTGCTCCTTTATTTGTGGTGTCAGGCACCCCAAAAGGGGTAGCCTTGCAGAACTTGAGAAATCGCATTCTTTAAGAGGCCTTTGATAAAGAAATCCTTACTTTCTGGAGGCCTGCAGTTTCGCCGGCAGCAGAGCTTTCCTGATCACTGCTTCTTCCAAAGCCACAACCACCACGTGCAGAGCTTTCCTTATGATTGCTGATCCGACGGCGACCGGCCCTGCTAATCAGGGCCCCCAGAGCTTGCTCCTTTATTTGTGGTGTCAGGCACCCAAAAAGGGGTAGCCTTGCAGAACTTGAGAAATCGCATTCTTTAAGAGGCCTTTGATAAAGAAATCCTTACTTTCTGGAGGCCTGCAGTTTGGCCGGCAGCAGAGCTTTCCTGATCACTGCTTCTTCCAAAGCCACAACCACCACGTGCAGAGCTTTCCTTATGATTGCTGATCCAAACCAGAGCCGGACGCCGGCGACCGGCCCTGCTAATCAGGGCCCCAAAGCTTGCTCCTTTATTTGTGGTGTCAGGCACCCAAAAAGGGGTAGCCTTGCAGAACTTGAGAAATCGCATTCTTTAAGAGGCCTTTGATAAAGAAATCCTTACTTCCTGGAGGCCTGCAGTTTCGCCGGCAGCAGAGCTTTCTTGATCACTGCTTCTTCCAAACCCACGACCACGACGTGCAGAGCTTTCCTTATGATTGCTGATCCAAGCCAGAGCCACACGACGGCGACCGGCCCTGCTAATCAGGGCCCCAAAGCTTGCTCCTTTATTTGTGGTGTCAGGCACCCAAGAAGGGGTAGCCTTGCAGAACTTGAGAAATCGCATTCTTTGAGAGGCCTTTGATAAAGAAATCCTTACTTTTTGGAGGCTGTGGTTTGTCCCGCAGCAGCAGAGCTTCCTGATCACTGCTTCTTCCAAATCCACAACCACCACGTGCAGAGCTTTCCTTATGATTGCTGATCCAAACCAGAGCCACACGACGGCGACCGGCCCTGCTAATCAGGGCCCCAAAGCTTGCTCCTTTATTTGTGGTGTCAGGCACCCAAAAAGGGGTAGCCTTGCAGAACTTGAGAAATCGCATTCTTTAAGAGGCCTTTGATAAAGAAATCCTTACTTTCTGGAGGCCTGCAGTTTCGCCGGCACCAGAGCTTTCCTGATCACTGCTTCTTCCAAAGCCACAACCACCACGTGCAGAGCTTTCCTTATGATTGCTGATCCAAACCAGAGCCACACGACGGCGACCGGCCCTGCTAATCAGGGCCCCAAAGCTTGCTCCTTTATTTGTGGTGTCAGGCACCCGAAGGGGGGTAGCCTTGCAGAACTTGAGAAATCGCATTCTTTGAGAGGCCTTTGATAAAGAAATCCTTACTTTCTGGAGGCCTGCAGTTTCGCCGGCAGCAGAGCTTTCCTGATCACTGCTTCTTCCAAACCCACGACCACGACGTGCAGAGCTTTCCTTATGATTGCTGATCCAAACCAGAGCCGGACGACGGCGACCGGCCCTGCTAATCAGGCCCCCAAAGCTTGCTCCTTTATTTGTGGTGTCAGGCACCCCAAAAGGGGTAGCCTTGCAGAACTTGAGAAATCGCATTCTTTAAGAGGCCTTTGATAAAGAAATCCTTACTTTCTGGAGGCCTGCAGTTTCGCCGGCAGCAGAGCTTTCCTGATCACTGCTTCTTCCAAAGCCACAACCACCACGTGCAGAGCTTTCCTTATGATTGCTGATCCAAACCAGAGCCGGACGACGGCGACCGGCCCTGCTAATCAGGGCCCCAAAGCTTGCTCCTTTATTTGTGGTGTCAGGCACCCAAAAAGGGGTAGCCTTGCAGAACTTGAGAAATCGCATTCTTTAAGAGGCCTTTGATAAAGAAATCCTTACTTTCTGGAGGCCTGCAGTTTCGCCGGCACCAGAGCTTTCCTGATCACTGCTTCTTCCAAAGCCACAACCACCACGTGCAGAGCTTTCCTTATGATTGCTGATCCAAACCAGAGCCACACGACGGCGACCGGCCCTGCTAATCAGGGCCCCAAAGCTTGCTCTTTTATTTGTGGTGTCAGGCACCCAAAAAGGGGTAGCCTTGCAGAACTTGAGAAATCGCATTCTTTGAGAGGCCTTTGATAAAGAAATCCTTACTTCCTGGAGGCCTGCAGTTTCGCCGGCAGCAGAGCTTTCTTGATCACTGCTTCTTCCAAACCCACGACCACGACGTGCAGAGCTTTCCTTATGATTGATGATCCAAGCCAGAGCCACACGACGGCGACCGGCCCTGCTAATCAGGGCCCCAAAGCTTGCTCCTTTATTTGTGGTGTCAGGCACCCAAGAAGGGGTAGCCTTGCAGAACTTGAGAAATCGCATTCTTTGAGAGGCCTTTGATAAAGAAATCCTTACTTTTTGGAGGCTGTGGTTTGTCCCGCAGCAGCAGAGCTTCCTGATCACTGCTTCTTCCAAATCCACAACCACCACGTGCAGAGCTTTCCTTATGATTGCTGATCCAAACCAGAGCCACACGACGGCGACCGGCCCTGCTAATCAGGGCCCCCAAAGCTTGCTCCTTTATTTGTGGTGTCAGGCACCCAAAAAGGGGTAGCCTTGCAGAACTTGAGAAATCGCATTCTTTAAGAGGCCTTTGATAAAGAAATCCTTACTTTCTGGAGGCCTGCAGTTTCGCCGGCACCAGAGCTTTCCTGATCACTGCTTCTTCCAAACCCACAACCACCACGTGCAGAGCTTTCCTTATGATTGCTGATCCAAACCAGAGCCACACGACGGCGACCGGCCCTGCTAATCAGGGCCCCAAAGCTTGCTCCTTTATTTGTGGTGTCAGGCACCCAAAAAGGGGTAGCCTTGCAGAACTTGAGAAATCGCATTCTTTGAGAGGCCTTTGATAAAGAAATCCTTACTTTCTGGAGGCCTGCAGTTTCGCCGGCAGCAGAGCTTTCCTGATCACTGCTTCTTCCAAAGCCACAACCACCACGTGCAGAGCTTTCCTTATGATTGCTGATTTTTTAATTAGAGCCACACGACGGCGACCGGCCCTGCTAATCAGGACCCCAAAGCTTGCTCCTTTATTTGTGGTGTCAGGCACCCAAAAAGGGGTAGCCTTGCAGAACTTGAGAAATCGCATTCTTTAAGAGGCCTTTGATAAAGAAATCCTTACTTTCTGGAGGCCTGCAGTTTCGCCGGCAGCAGAGCTTTCCTGATCACTGCTTCTTCCAAAGCCACAACCACCACGTGCAGAGCTTTCCTTATGATTGCTGATCCAAACCAGAGCCACACGACGGCGACCGGCCCTGCTAATCAGGGCCCCAAAGCTTGCTCCTTTATTTGTGGTGTCAGGCACCCAAAAAGGGGTAGCCTTGCAGAACTTGAGAAATCGCATTCTTTAAGAGGCCTTTGATAAAGAAATCCTTACTTTCTGGAGGCCTGCAGTTTCGCCGGCACCAGAGCTTTCCTGATCACTGCTTCTTCCAAAGCCACAACCACCACGTGCAGAGCTTTCCTTATGATTGCTGATCCAAACCAGAGCCACACGACGGCGACCGGCCCTGCTAATCAGGGCCCCCAGAGCTTGCTCCTTTATTTGTGATGTCAGGCACCCGAAGGGGGGTAGCCTTGCAAAACTTGAAAATCGCATTCTTCAAGAGGTCTTTGGTAAAGAAATCCTTACTTTCTGGAGGCCTGCAGTTTCGCCGGCAGCAGAGCTTTCCTGATCACTGCTTCTTCCAAACCCACAAGCACCACAGGCAGAGCTTTCCTTATGATTGCTGATCCAAACCAGAGCCGGACGCCGGCGACCGGCCCTGCTAATCAGGACCCCAAAGCTTGCTCCTTTATTTGTGGTGTCAGGCACCCCAAAAGGGGTAGCCTTGCAGAACTTGAGAAATCGCATTCTTTAACAGGCCTTTGATAAAAGAATTCTTACTTTCTAGCAGAGCTTTCCTAATCACAACCACCACATGCAGAGCTTGCCTTAGGGGTGGAGGGGTGGAGAGGAGTGAGGTGAGTGGAGGGGTGGAGGGTGGAGGGGTGTGAGGGGTGGAGGGGTTTCTTATGAGTACGTAATGAGTTCATTTGGCAGCGAGCCTCCCGCATGCAGGTTCGAAGCAATGAGTACCGTGGTTCCTGAGGCCAGAGTGAGCCGAGGTCAAGCCAAGGCGAAACCATCGGCCAAGAAAAAGCCGTTGAGCTTGGGCAAGATGGCTAAGAAACAGCAGAAGAGATCGCAGATGATGAAGGCGGGAAGCAAGATTCCCAAGAATGAGGATCCGCCGGTGCCTTTGCCTCCGCCGAGTGAGGCCCCTCCGTTGGCGGATGGGGCCCTTCGCCCATCAGGGACATGGCGAGTGATAGATGAGCGAGCAGGCACAAGTGTGTTTGGGCGATCAGGTGAGATCCTGGGTGAGTCGACTGAGAATTACCACGTGCTGCTTGGGGTGTGCCCGCACATGGGGGGCAAAGAGAGGAAGGAGTGGGTGAGCAAGCGCTATGTCGTTGAGATTGGCAAGGACGTGAAGGCATACAAGTGGCAGCAGATGAGCTTGAGCCGGCACTGGAAGCAGGAGATCCTGGGTGAGATGGGTTTGTTGAGCGAAGACCTGGACCTGCTGGGGTCCCTGGATGAGGTCGATGAGCTGCCATTGAAGATGCCAGCTGGGGGCATCAGCCTCCAGCACATCCATCTGGGCTGGGCCCTGATGAGATGGCAGCTGGAGAAGAGTGGGCATACGCATGAGGAACAAGCCAAGACAATGAGTTTCGTGAGCCCTGGGTGGACCCAGCCGCTGTATTTAGCCCATGAGGAGCCACGGATTGATGTGGATGAGTACGCAAAGGTAGTGAAGAAATTGATGAGTGAGCACAAGCTTTGTTTTTTGCCATTGGGCTCGCATGGGCATTGGGTTCTGCTGGTCGTTGACCGGCGATCAGCACCGATGAGCATCAGGTCCCCCACATGACACTTGCAGTTTATTATACTATGCATATATATATGTATATATATATATATATATATATTAAACATATATATATATATTAATCTTATATATATATATATTAAACGTTTTGTATGGTATATATAAATATGGAATATAGTAGAAGCCAGAAAGTTGGAACATGGCTTTAGGAGGATTAGTGCTAGAATCCCTTATACTTTACCTTAAGGGCATGAGGAGTCTGATGTTCCAACTTTCTGGCTTCTACTATATGCCTTAAATTATAGAGTGAATGTAATGAGGGACCCTAAAGCCTTCCCATGAGGTACTACGACAGCCTGCCTGATGAGTCGCAGCAGTGCCGTGAGTACGCGGCGAAGGTCCTGGCGAGCCTGCTGAGCCTTGGATTGGTGGATCAGGCAGAGCTTCCTGAGAGGATGACAAAAGTGCATCAGGGAGCAGATGAGTGTGGGATCTTCTTGCTGGCGAGCCTTGAGCGGGAGGCAGCTGAGGCCATGGGCCATGGCCCGGCTGCCACTGGCTGGCCAACATGGGCAGCGAGCCGATGGCACTTTGGTTATAATTAATTAGTTGAGTACTTATGTATTTCGTTGCTTTTTAAAAATAGAACATACGTATTTTTTAATAGTATCCCAACCCTGACCCAGGCATGAGAGGCTCCATAAGGGGAGCACCGGCTTGAAGATTGAGCAGAGCAAGAGGATTGGGGAATTGCAGAAGCATCATGAGACTTGGTTTTTTCCGATTGTGTAGTACATAACTTTTTGAAGTATTAAGGTAAAAGCCAGAAAGTTGGAATATGATTATCCTAACCCTTCTATGGTAAATTATAGGGTATCCTACCATGAAACCATATTCCAACTTTCTGGAGCTCGCTGTAGGAAGTAGGCAAGTAATTTGTACTCAAGTAACTTGAAATTGGTAGAGAGTAGGTGGTAGGTACTAGGTAGTACTGCTGATGATCTAAATCCTGCATTACCCATAATAAGGAATATACCATAAATTCCATAGTCTACGGCCCTTAAGGTCATGCAGGATTTATATCATCAACCGTAGGAAGTAGTTTAGTAATTAGCGGTCATAAGTCAGCCAAGGAGAAGCTGATCGCCCAAGGTGAGAAAGCCAAGAAGGAGCGTGAGCACTTGGCTGAGGTCGCCGCAAAGCGGATGATGAAAAACCTTGAGCTCAATGAGCTCCAAAAGAAAGCTTATGAGCTGGTGCATGACGGAGGGCCGATTCTGGAATCAGAGCTGCCCGATGAGTACCGCAAAGAAGCTCTTAGGATCAAGCTGTATGAGATAGGCGTTTGCAGCAAATGCAGACACACCTCAGGATGTCTGCGCTGCGATGAGTCCAAATGCTTGGCCTACTACATGAGACTTGAAGCCAAAAAAACTGGCCGGGTCATCCGAGATGAGTACAAGCTCTGAGCATGAGGCAATATGTGCCTTTCTCATGTGCTTGAAGACATGAGCGCCAGATCTGAGCATGAGCCAAAATGAGCCTTTCTGAGGTGCTTGAAAACTTAAACACCCAACCCCAAACCCTAAACACCCAACCCCAAACCCAAAACCCTAAGCCCTGAACCCGAAACCCCGAACCCCAAACTCAAAACCCTAATTAAACCTCGAACCCTATTTTACCCTAAGTCTTTTGCGGGGTGACTTTGGGTGGTTTGGGTTGGGGATTTCTAGCTGTATGGGATTTCAAGAGGGGGTTCTGCCTAATTGTGTTTTGGGTTCTGAGCCTTGTTTAATTTGGGGCCTAAACCCTACACCCTACTAAGCTAGCCACCTAACCCTTAGAATTACCCTAATTGACAGCCTATACTTGAATGGGGTGACGTTAAAGGTGTTTGGGTTTAGGATAACTGGGGGGGAAGTAATTCTAAAAATTATTGGGGACTGTAAACAACGATCTTCTCTAATCTGAGAATTGTTCAGGGTCCATAAGAAGGGTTGGGTGGTGTGGGGTCCTAACTAACCAGGGGCTGTAAGCTAAAAAATTAATTAGGGGGTTCTGGTTGCTGTGAGGGATTAGACCCTTTTTAATCAGGGGGTTATCTTTAAGAATTATTCAGGGTCCATAAGAAGGGTTGGGGGCTGTGGGGTCCTAACTAATCAGGGGCTGTAAGCTGAAAATTTAATTAGGGGGGTGCTGGTTGCTGTGAGGGATTAGACCCTTCTTAATCAGGGGGTTATTTTTAAGAATTATTCAGGGTCCATAAGAAGGGCTGGGGGCTGTGGGGTCCTAACTAATCAGGGGCTGTAAGCTAAAAAATTAATTAGGGGGGTGCTGGTTGCTGTGAGGGATTAGACCCTTTTTAATCAGGGGGTTATCTTTAAGAATTATTCAGGGTCCATAAGAAGGGTTGGGGGCTGTGGGGTCCTAACTAATCAGGGGCTGTAAGCTAAAAAATTAATTAGGGGGGTGCTGGTTGCTGTGAGGGATTAGACCCTTTTTAATCAGGGGGTTATCTTTATGAATTATTCAGGGTCCATAAGAAGGGCTGGGGGCTGTGGGGTCCTAACTAATCAGGGGCTGTAAGCTGAAAAATTAATTAGGGGGGTGCGACATGCAGCGCAGCTGGGGAAGCTTTGTCTGGCCCTGACTCTCCCTGTAGATCCAAGCTTTAGCTCCATGATGTAATGTAACTCGCTTCTATCATAAGTCATAAGGCCATTCCCAAAGGCTTCATGTACCTTTATGGTAGATACTTAAAGCCTTAAACGGGTCCCTATATAGACACTTTAAGGCCTAAGTATATACTATAAGGGCACATGGAGCCTCAGGGATTGCCTGAGAACGCCTCCACAACAGGCTCCAAGTCCAGAAGCCTGGTAACTCCTGCATCCGACACGAGAGAAGTTGCACTGTTTTCCATCACTAGGACCTAGAGTAAGCAGTTTAGGGTTAGGGGTTTAGGGTTTAGGGTAAGCCGGGTAAGCCCTTATTCCCTTTTTAAAGGTTCAGGTTCCCTTATAAGCTCCTTCAAAACAAAAAGGGCACCCTTTTTCATTATTCTTGGGTCTAGATCACCACTGCCCAGGTACATCTACGGCCCAAAGACCAACAAGCGCGACTACATCGACTGGTTCCTGGCTCCTTGCCCGAGTTTCCGAGAGCCTTATGGGTCTGAAGCCTGGAGATACGGCTGATGATATAAACCCTGCATTACCTATAATAAGGAATATACCATAATTCCCATAGTTTGGGGTCATGAAGGTAGTGCAGGATTTATATCATCAACGGTATCGATCCTGCAACACCCCGAGCCGTGAAAGAACTACCGTAGGAACAAGATAAAGAAATCCTGGCCCTATAACCCCATTATGGTAGGATTCATATGAGGAACCTTAATAAAGAGCCAAGGTTTATTAATCAGGTTCCTATATTAACAAAAGCTCCCCAGTCCATGTGAAGTTGTGGACCGGAAGGCAGCAGCACTCCTCGCACGCACCCGCTTTCTGTTTCTACTGTCTGTCCCGATTTCCTGTCGCTGAAACCTTGGAACCCCCCACCGCGACATCCACTGCAGATCTGCAGCGCTACCAAGCACCCTCCCCCCCGTGAACAAGAAGCTAAATACAGCCGTGAAGCCCCAAGGCTTACAAGGCTACCTCATAGGCCCGAACAAGAGCTCAGGACCGCATCACCCGCGACCTGCCCTTTCCACTGCCAGCGGACGGCTCACTGTTCACCACCCTCACCAACAGCGAGGATGTTGCAGGTACGGCCTTTTCCAGCTAACCTTTGAGATTGGAGGAGCTAAGGAGCCAGGGATGATGATAATCCCTATTGAATAAGGAGCTAAAGAGCCCAGGGAACCCCAAAACCAGTGGTTAGGCAGTTTTGAATGTGAGGCTTGGGACATACCGTGGATTTGCTGTCTTGTGTTGTGCTTGGCCTGTCGATCGTTTTGTGTCGCTATGCTTGCTATTTCCGTCTGTCAAGAGACTCAACTGTAGAGGCTGGTAATTATGCAACTTAATCAAGGTTGATAGAAACAAGGTACTATATTTGTTCCTTCAAACACCGACCATGGGTACGAGTGCCCCACCCTAAACCCCAAATCCCTAAGCCCTAAACCCTACAGTTCTGTCAAATCGGCTTGGGGTCCACGGTTTAGGGTTTATTACATTGTCATAAGTCAAGCAAGTTCCGATTGCATCTTCTCTTTTGTAAGTTGCAGGATGCGCAGGGCTCAGATTTCTCAGGTTTTGCTCTTGGTGACCGCCGCCACCCCTGTCAGTTTGACCAAGTCACCGTTGTCTCGTGAAGTTTACAGATTCCGGTGCGTAGCACGGGTTTTGAGACATCAGTAAGCATATTCCCAACTAGAGTCCGAACCCAATCAAATTATGATATACCCCCCCAGAGCCTATCCCTAAGGGTCCATGTACTCATATAGTATATACATTGGCCTTAATGTAGTCCCTATATAGGTACATTGAGGGCTCATGTATCTCTATATGGGTACATGGACCCCTAGGGTATTCTAATTACTAAGGCCCGTATACTACCCAACAGTTGAAACTTACCTAAAGGATCGTGGGACCAAGCACGTAAGGCTATGACCACTCAATTGGGGCTATAAGTCCAGGCGAGTATATATCCATACAAATTACCCTGATTAACCAAGTCTTCTGCTAAACCACCCCGAAAAAGAAAACACACCCTGAAGGCATGATGGCGAGCGTTGTCGGAAGCTTTGCTGCTCTGAGCTGGGATTTGGGGCTCTGGCTTCGGTGTCTGAGTTTCGGTTTAGGGTTTAGGGTTCAGGGTTTAGGGAGATTCTTCCTCATAGTTCCTCTATATACGCTTGTTGGCATACTACGCCATAATATAGCCCAGCATCTTATGCTGATGATTACAGATTACGGTCCCTACATTACATTTGGGGTTCGCGGAATGTAGAAGTGAAAAGGGAATGAATGCCCTTCTGCTTGCGCCTCGCGGAGACCTGAGCCCCAACATCCAAATCAAACATTTTCACGGTTTAAGGGTGAGGGTTTCAGGTGTTCTTGTAGTGCAGGGCAAGAAAAGTGGGCGAGTGACCCCTTGTAGCGTCGCTGGTACCTTTCATGATCGACTCGTCTTTTTGCAGTATCTGTTGCTTGCATTTGATGCCCAACATGTTATAATTATTCTAAAGCCTTTTCTAATTATCACCCATAGGCTGCATAGTTTGGGCTGACCTTATAGGATTCTATATATGAACCCCCGAAAGGGAGCCCGAGGGTAAGGCCTGTATATCGCAGGCCGGCATGATGGGGTGCCTAAGAATCTTCTGCAGGCCCAGGTCTCGAACAACAATCAGAAAAGGCATGCTAAGCCGGGTTTCGGGTTCAGGGTTCAGCTATACTTGCGACCGCAGTGCCATTTCAAGCGCTTGTTGAGTTCCGATGTTTTGACTCAGGTGGATACCCGCCGGTTCCAGGGAAAGTCAAGCCCTCAGCCCCAAGAATCCTAAACCTCTACCCTAAGCCGCCCGAAAGGAAAAGAGGCCGAAGCCTCTGGAGAAATCTTTAACTGCGCCTCCGATGAGCTCGTGTCCCACAAAAAGATGGTCGAGGTGGGAAATCCAAGGGGCCCCTGATTAGTTAACTAGTAGGTTTGGGGTTTATAATATGAGTTTTTGGTAATCAGTACCGACTTGCATTCATTACAGTTTTATTTGGTATGGAGTAGTAGTAATCAGGATTGGTTAGAGTTGATTAGTGTTTACTAACCATGCAGTATTAACCCGTACTGTTTCATACAATCCCCTGAGAGGCCAGAACCGTTCGGATTAGTGGGGCTCCTATATCAAGGCTGGCATCCATGGACTCAGGCTTGCGGCGTTGGAGGTTTGCAGCCTTTGCTCAAGTCGTTCCTCTACACCCTAAGGCTCCATGTACCTTTATAGTATATACTTAGGCCTTAAAGTACTTATATAGGGTCCCCTTTAAGGCTTAAGTACCTACCACAAAGGTACATGGAGCCCCTTTCGGACACCGAGGGTCTACGGTTGTGGGGCGTTTTGTTCGAGTTGGGAGTGCTCTGGTCGAAAAATCAGAAGCTGTGCTCTTTTAGTCCAGACAGCACTTCATTATACACCAAACCCAATGCCCAAATTCTACTCACTAAGGCATTAGGGCCATTGAACCCTGATAGAACCCGCCAAAGGTACATTATTTTCACTTCTACGGGCCCTACGTTACATCCTGTGAGCAGACCAGTTATAAGTAGGGTTATAAGTAGGATAACTATAGCTATAAGCCATTTTCGGGGACTTATAACCCTACTTATAACTACCCATGAACCTCCAAGTAGGCCCTAAACCCTATACCCTTATAGAATCCCTATAGACTCCTTTATATAAAGGGGGCCTTATAACTACCCATGAACCTCCAAGTATAATTAGCAACTTATACGAACCTGAGAGCCAGGCCTTCGGTTTGCGTACTGTGATTGCCAGGGCCGCTGCATAAGTCCCTTGCAGAGGGCCTTGCAGGAACCCTGAAAGTAGCCCTGTTCTTGAGGTTGAGGCCCCTACATTGAGCCGTAGCGTCTTACTGTCCCTAAACCCTAAGCCCTAAACCCCACCCTAAACCCCTAGACTGGCGGAGGTAGTGGCCACTGCCTTGGGAAAAGACCCCAGGGATGTGCTGGCGAGGGTGGCGACCGGACCGAAGCATGTTTGTGGTTGGTGGATACTCAAGGTTCGGGGGTTGTTTGATTCGTTTTTATTGGGACCTATAAGATAGCCTAAAAGGTTTGGGGGGAGAAAACATGGTTCGGGGGTTAGGATTGTTTGATTTGTATAGAATTGGGACCAAAAGGGTTTAAAGGTTTATTGTTATTCTGGACACTCAACCCCGCACCCCGGAGGGCAAAGGCGAGACGCTGGCGTGGGTTGATGTGGGTGCAAGATGACGTCTAAGACTTGATGTGTTAAGTACGACTAGCCAGTCCACCCACCCCTTCCCTTCGCCCCCCGTCGTTTTGAAGAAGGGGTTCTTTATTGGGACTATAGGGGCGTTTTGCATGCTGATAGCCCGGGGTTGCCTTCTTCTTCAGGGTCATCTTTATAACCCTCATGTATAGTATCCTAAGCCAGAAACCTACTACAGTACAGGCCTTTGGAGTTTAGGCGTCAGGGTTCAGGTCTCCGCCTTGTGTTGGGTTCGTGGGGATGTCTCCTCAAGGTTTGTGTGTTTCATGTGGACTGCAAGGATCTATACTTGGAAGGGCAGGGGACTTAGTAAGTAGGTTATAAGTAGGGTTATAACTGGGGTAACTCCATTTAGGGTACTTATAACTCTACTTATAACCTACTTACTAAGTCCCCTGCCCTTACAAGTACCAGGGCAGCTTAGGGCTTTTGTGTGCTCAGGGCTTTCTCATAGAGGGAGTCGGGGTCGAAAAAATTGGAGGTCAAGAATGTCGTTCGAAAGCTTAAACATTTGGGACTGCTATTCTTGGGGCTCCTGCATATTAGAAGTATACGGTATACCACTAAAGCTACTAAACGGCCCAATATCCAATTCTACCTCTTGAGGCCCTTACATCGCGATCCCGCTGTATCAAAGGCCTTCGAAAGCTTTGAACCAGCAGCTCGATCTCCATGTTTCTGACCCTCACCCTGAGGCTCTAAGTACTCATGTATTGAGGCTTTTGGGCCCAAAGACCACACTATACCAGGCTTTTGGGCCATTTTGGGCCATACTTCCCCAGAAACCGTACACGGACCAGTGTTGGGGTGTGGGGCTGAGGGGGGTATGCGTGATTTGTGAGTTTAGGTACATCCTACTGATCGTTTCCCCCCTAGAACTCTGCTAAGCCTTACCTTAACCTCGAATAACCTACCATCTTAGGGTTCCTTATTATGATTTCTTTATATAGGTCCTTAACAAGGTAGGTCCTGCGGGGTTCAGGTAAACCCTGCACTGTCCATCCTAAACCCTAAACCCTAAACCCTAATCCGATCTCAGGTTTTCTACGATCCGGCGAAGTTGAAGGGTGTCGAGCTCCCGAAAGAGGGGAAGCCATCTGGGTGCATGAAGAGGGGCTTTGGGGTGGTACCGATGGTTTACAGCTTAAGGCATCCTTTGGGTTGATGATATAAATCCTGCATTACCCATATACAATCAGGAATATGCCGTAATTCCCATAGTTTAGGGTCCGTAAGGCCATGCAGGATTTATACCATCAAAAGTTTAGCCCTCAAGCGGGAAGTTCCGCCTTCATGAGGTTTCATGCTGAAGCGTGGAAAATGGCACTCTGAATCGATCCACTCAGCTCCTCTCTACTACCCCGAGGCTTATGTAAGCCCTTAACCCGAAACCCCCATAAGGCCTTAGATAGCTTCGGGCCAAGAGTCCTAGAAGATAAGTCGCAACGGGGCGGAGGAGTAGAGAGCCCTGACGGATAGGGTTCAAAGGCCTTGGGGTTTAGGTGCTTAGGGGTTTAGGTTTATATTTAGGGTTCTAAACCCCAAGCCCAGATAGGCTTAGTTTTCAGAGTGGCCATAACTGCTGTTTGATCATCGGACTGAAGGCAATGATGCTGGGCGCTAGTTGGATGAGCCAGAGCCCATATTAATTTGCACATTGTGGCGAATGCGCTCCACCAACTTAGAGCATCTTTGAGATGCCCTTGGCACAACTACTGTAGGCACTTCTTCCCGTTTGGTAGCTCTCGCTGCTGTTTAATTTTTATGGAGGACAGGCAATCGTCACAGGCGACTTGTAACACAAAGCTCTCCAGAGTTTCGAGTTTAGGGTTTTGGATTCGAAAAGGTGTGTTTGCTGCCATTCTTCTGTGTCGTCGCGGCGATGGGTTCTTGTTGCATGCTTCCATCTCCCGCAACATGTACAAGTTTGTGGTAAACTTACGGCCGCAAGCGCAAGGTACCAGATGCTGCCGTGTTACTTGGGAACCCTACACCCCACCCTACAGAATGCCCTGAACTGAAACTGAAACCCACAAAACAAAAACCGTAAACTCTAAACCTCGATGCGCTTCTAAGCACCGACCCCCTTGAAACCACAGAAGGCCGACAGTCCAATATAGGGGCCTCAATAATGAGAATAGGGTTTTGGGGGCCATTATACTATGAATTAGAAGCTGCCCCCACCCTGCAATAGTGGTGTAATAGGAATATAATACGGCCCTAGTATAATCCTTATTATAGTCACTATTACAGGGTGGGGGCAGCTTCTAAACTATAAAGTAATTGTTTCAGCCCCTACATTATCAGCACTGAGGTTCCCCTTCCGTGAGACGAACTTCGGCGTGGATGTCCAGAAAGCCAAGAAGGCTCAGTGTAGGGCTCTTTAAATAAATGGGACCATAACCGATACTATGTTTCAGCTTATAGTGCAAAGGTTTGCTTTAGGCAGGGACAGATTCTATCCTTTAAGGCCTTGAGTCCCTGGCTTGTAGAAAGGTAAGTTCCAGCCAACCCGAATTAAGCTCGAGACCCTAAACCTTAAAGATAATGCTACCTCTACTGTAAGTCATCATCATGTAATGCACATATACTTTACATAGTTATGTGTGTAGATATATAGAAGTTATATATACATACACACCCCGCAGGCTCTATCCGCTTCAGAGATCCCATCCACTAGACCAATGCTCACAGGTCTTGGGATGGTCTCCAGCGCACACTTTCGAAGGAGACATCGCAGCTTACTACGCCGAGTATTGCCGGCTCGGCAAGGTGCTTCTGGGGCAGGGCCTCGGGCTTGGGGCATAGCTGTTGCTGGTGAGCATTTTCGAGACTGCTGCCGTGGTTGATTGTGTTTCATGAGGATGACACTCGCAGACACACTTCATATACCTACATACATATATATATATATATATATACATATATATATATATATAATATGTTGGGCACAGACACACAGGGACTGACATGCATCCATATCTTTTGGGGCAAGGGCGTAGGCCTTAGGGCTGTGGCTCGAAGAAGCTGCGGTCTGGGTTTGCAGCCAAGTGTACGAGTTTTCTGCTGGGGTTGAGGGGGCGGGTTTCGGTTCCTGCAAGCCTTCGTGGTTGACATGAAGGATTTACGAGGCTGTGGTGGTATAAAGTAGATGCCAACATTACCAGGGTGGCACTACAGGCAACAACAGGCATCCGAGTTGCATGTTCATTACTACAGCAGATCCTGTCATCAGTCCTGATGATCTCCAACAAATGCCAAAACCTCACAATCTGTGGCCACACTATTTGGAGAGCAGCATCAGAACTGGCAGGACCAGGGTCCCATCAAGCGGGCCTGGGACGAAGCGGTTATGAGTGCAGTGACGGCTGCCGCTTGAGAGTTGAGGGCGTCAGAAAGTTGAGGGGGCCAGGGACTCCAAGATTTCTTGCGTTACGGGTTTAGGGTTTGGGGTCGTGGAATCGTGGCTAGTAGGACTTGGAGTTCTGGGTTTGGCATCCTTAAGTAAGACCTCATTTCGGTTTAGGGCACGATCTGCTGTGTTTCATATTAAAGGGCTTTGTTTCGCTGTGGGAGTCGCTGGGTCGTCGTGGCTGGTCGTGTTGTCTGCTGCATGTAGGAGTTTTGGCTGTGGCTCCAGACTAGATGTGGAGACTACCTAGTTCTTTTTTGGGGTTCATATTTAGAATCCAGTAAGGTAATCCCAAAAAGGAACTACTATAGAGCCTATGGGTAGGCATGTAAGACTGCGCTACTCTGCATCAGAGCGTGGCAGAGGTCTGTTCACCAGGAGTGGGTTTCAATAGTACTCGTAAGTGGAGGTAATACGGTTGATGATGTAAAACCTTTCATGATCTTAAGGACCCTAAACTATGGGAATTATGGTATATTCCTTATTATTATGGGTAATGCAGATTTATATCATCAACATTGTGTAGCGTGCATCTAAGATGCATGTGCTCAGAGTGGGGGGGCGCGTCTCTTGATGTGGCTTGGCTTTGATGAGCCAGAGAGGATCATATGAGTTCTTTGACTCATCATTCATTAAAGGTTCATGTGTTTCTGTAGTGTATACTTAGATGCCTTAAGTGGGGTTGCTCTATAGGTGTTGTCAGACCTGCGTATATGCTATATAAGCCTTCGTGCTCGTATTTATTGTATATCCTTGCTTGAGCACTGGTCAACGACACTTAAGCTAGCTTACGATAAGTCTCCGCAAGCCCACGGCACAGATCCTAGAAGGGCCTATACCCTAAACCCCAAACGCCTGACGGTTAACAGCAGAGATTTGAAAGCAACCTGCTAAACAGAAAGTCCTAAACCCTAAGCCCTAGGTTTATAAATTCTAAACGCAACCCTAAGTCCTAAGTCCTAAACCCCAGGTTTACAAACTCTAAACGCAACCCTAAGTCCCAAGTATACAAAAAGGACCTATTTGGGCTTCAAAGTCTGTAAATAGTATTTACTTTGGAAGATTTGGAGCTGTAGGGTAAATCCCAAGCCCGACCTATAGTCTGAATTGTAGTGCAGTTTTATGGTTAGGATCCTATAATAGAGATTTTGGTTAACCAAAAAAAGAACTACAATGGAGACTATAGGGAAGTCCCAAATTGTCCCAAACCCGGATCCGGAAGCCAGACGGAGACGCGTCCCCATTTGCAATTCTCCGGCTCAGTGCTGTCATCCACAGTCCCAGTGCTTGCAGGGTTTAGGGTTTAGGGGTTGCAGGGTTTAGGGGTAAGGGCTTGCAGGGTTTAGGGTTTAGGGCTTGCAGGGTTTGGGGTTTAGGGCTTGCAGGGTTTAGGGTATAGGGCTTGCAGGGTTTAGGGTATAGGGCTTGCAGGGTTTACGGTTTATGGGGCTTGCAGGGTTTAGGGCTTGCAGGGTTTAGGGGTTTAGGGTTTCGGGGGCGGTGCTTCAGAAATCAGAAATCAGACGATGTTTCGCCATTTCCCTGTCTTATTGCAATGAAGCCTATGCTTAAGGTCCGTCAGCTCTGAAATGAGAACTACAGTGTGAGAGAAATCTATACCAATTCGCGTGGCTCTAAAATCCTGAAGACGTGAGAAGATGATCTATGCGGTCTCAGCGCCTCAGAGACTACCTAGAGGCTCATACCTTACCCCTTTTTTCAGGAAGATAACAGATCCTAGCCATAAGACTAGGTATCCTAAAAAAGGGGTAGGGCATGAGCCTCTAGGTAGTGTCAGGTTTTGGGGTGCTCATTATAGTATGGGCTCCTCTCTGTTGCTGACGATGATGGCTTTCCCTTGCGACTCCCTCTTGGCAAGCTTGAAATCTCATTTCTGGTGACCGATGCCAGGATGACAGACAAAGCCCTGTTAGGAGCCTACACGCATAAACTTCACCCGCCGCATACAGGGAGAAAAGGCGACTGCCGGCGTTGGCGGGAGCTTTGAGGGTCGCGGAAACCCTACATGAAAGTTCCTGAATCCTTACCCTAAGGCTCTAAGGACTCATATATTAAGGGTTCTTGGACCCAAAGACCATACTGTGTAAGGCTTTTGGGCCATTTTGAGTCTTAGGGTTACATAGACCACAACCCCGTTGCAACTTGCCGAGCCCTGGACAGATTTAGGTCCTGAGCCCCAGAGCTCTACATAAGAGCCATTGTCAGCCAATGTGTCGCCTGTGCTCTACAGTAGCCGTTGTTGCTAAGGCGATTTCTTACAAAGTAACCGTCGAGTCGCAAAATGTTTTGTGGCAAACAGGGGCTGTCCGTGTGGAAGAATGTGCTCGTACGTTACCAGGCGTGGTGTGGGGGTTGGGTGCTGACTCTGAATGCCGTGATCTTAAGCACTTAGGTGCTGCATAAACAATCTCGGATTTTGCGCTTCCAACGTTAGGCGTATCCAACGGTTCATGTATCCTGGCAACAGCCAGAAGTCATGAGTCTGCAATGCAACCATTCCGGTTTAAAGTTCTGACACCTCTAAACCCTAAACCCCAGTTTGTACGCATCCCAACAGCAGATAAGACAGAATCGGATCATTTCGGCATCTGGGGATTCAGACGAAAGTCCAGTCATACTTCTCGTGTTCCCGAGGGCTCCACAGTACCAACTTTGGGGTTTCAAGTCTACAAACAGTACCTACTTTGAGCTATTTCGAGCTCCATGGGTTTAGGGTGTACGGGCTTGAGTTTTCAGGGTTTAGGGGTATGGTGTATGGGGTTAGCATTTGCTGTGCTCAAGATCGGCATAATGCCAATGCTCACATTGACAGCGCGGAGTCCTGTTTTCTCTGGACTCGTACTGAATTGGTCCATTCTTGCTGTGCTTTGGCCCCGTATCCTCCGTCGCAGCCCGAAATCCTCATGGCCCAAACCCTGAAAAAGTGCGAACTCTTGAAACTGAACACAACAAGTCCAGTCGATCTTGGGGCGCCTAACACCTAGGCAAGGCTTCTCGGAGATCACTGTGTGGCACGGCAGCATCAATTTACTCACCGCGGGGTTGAAGAGTGCAGGGTTATGGGACCTAGGCTCAATGGAAAGTGAACCTTGCACAACAGCAGCAACAACATCAACAGCACCAGCACCAGCACCAACAACAACAACAACAACAGCCACAGCCACAGCAACAGCAACAACTGCAAGGACAACAACAACAACAACAACAACAACAACAACAACAACAACAACAACAACAACAACAACAACAACAACAACAACAACAACAACTACTACTACGACGACGACGACTGCTACTTCTAGTTCTAATTCTACTACTTCTACTACAACAGAAACAACGACTACTGCTACAATTACAACAACTACTACCACCACCACAACAACAACAACTACTACTACTACTGCTACTACTACTTCTTCTACTATTACTACCACTTCTACTACTTCTACTACTACTACTACTACTACTACTACTACTACTACTACTACTACTACTACTACTACTTCTGCTACTACCACTACTCCTACTACTACTACTACTACTACTACTACTACTACTACTACGACCGCTACCACTAGCACTACTACTGCTACCACGACTACTGCTACTACTGCTACTGCTGCTACTACTACTCTACTACTACTACTACTACTGCTACTGTTGCTACTGCTACTGCTACTGCTCCCCGCGATTTCCAACTAGTACTATACCAGCGCCGCTAATTTCCACTACTGCTGCTGGTGCTACCTCTGCAACGACTCTTAGTGCTAGTACAACGACCGTTCTCTCGCAGGTAGTTGCTCCAGGATTGACGCATCAATTGTTGACACTGCTGTCTTCACACCCAATCTAAACCATCCCTGCATCGAGTTGTCTATCACTTATAGAGCTGGAAATCCAACAGAAAGAAACCGATGAAGACTGAACCTGCCCTCAACATCCGAAAGGATCTTCGTCGATGTCGACGGCAACATCAGGAAGGCCGAATGGCCTAAACCTTAACCCTAAGGCCCAAAACAGCCCAAAAGCCTTCTATCGATGTATCTATCTATATAACATATATATATATATATATATATATAGAGTATGGTCTTTGTCACTGTCTTTGGGCCCAAAAACCTTAATATATGAGTCCTTAGAGCCTTAGGGTAAGCTCTGGGAAGTCAAAGCTGTCGAAGAAGGACTTGTTTAACCTCGCAGTTGCCATTGTAGAGCGGGTTTGAGTCGGGGAGGGCGGGCTATACCTGTAGTCTCCATTGCAGTTCCTTTTTGGGTTACCTTTTAGGATCCTTTATGCATAACTGGTTAAACCAGAAAAAGGAACTACAATGGAGACCATGGTGGGTTCCCAGACAGCAGAACCATTCAGAACCCCGTGTTTTCATGTTGCAACATAACAAACCAACAAGCAAACATGTAGAGTCCTTACAGGAAAGAGCGGCGGTGTCTTTAGCTGATGAATCATTGCGAACAATGGACCAACAGCCAGAAAAGCAGGGGCCCTTGATTAGGGGATGTTGGTGCCCTCAGTCGTTGTGGAGGCGCCGGCACAGTTCCTGGGCCAACGTGGCCACGTGCTCTTCAGCCAGGAGCAGGCCCCACGCCAGCGGTTTGGGGGTTTAGCTGGGGTCCCTCATATAGAAGCTAGAAATGTCCTAAAACCATAAAACCATAAAACCCTCCTGGTACTTAATGGGTCTTCATCCACCAACAGATCATCAAAAGTTACACTCATGAGGTATTAGGGTTTGGGGGACCCTAATACAGTACCCTAAATAGTAGGATCCCTAATATAAGGACCCCAAAATAAGGTACCCGTACCCCGAATTTTCGGAAACTCACATATGGCTTGGGGTCTGGGGCCTCCAGGGTCTGGAGTTTTTGATCAGAGTCCGAAACCCCAAACCCCAAGTGCTGAACTCCAAACCCTGACGTGCTGCGGTCGT